TATATGAAGATTATTTTGCGAAAACTCGAATTTTAGCACGCAATTTGAAAACACCTTGTATTTAAATAAATTAAACGGTTTACGCGTATGAACGATGATTGCTTTAAGTTAAATGACACTAAAAACGTGTAAAATTAACGGTTGCGTTAGTTCCGGTAATTTATCGAATGTTTACCAAGATTTATGCAAGAGCTTCTACTATCTTCGGTCTGAACCGCAAATTTGAACCATTCAAATTTTAAAAATCATAATTGCTTCTTGGTGGTGAAATTTTCTTTTCTTGCCCTGGTCTGTCTTTTCTTTTATTTGTTGTTTTGCTGCATTTTAAAGTTTCACCGATAACTGATTTGTGTTGTTCCAGAGTCGATAGTTTGATTATAATTTTTAAAATCTCACTTTGTAAACGCCACTGTTTTTTCGATATAGTTTCGAGTTCAAACGGAATAGAAATATTTACAAGTGTCCCATTGATGTGAATAATAGCGTCCCTATTCTCAGATACCCGAGGAAAATTCACAAATATCAGGGAGCGGTTTTTGTATCCCCTTAAGGGTTAATGCCACCCTTTAAAAAATAAATCAACCTTGTATGAGTAGGAACTGGAAAGGGAAAAGCCGAAAATATCAACTAGCATTGCGGGCGAATTACGTGTGTTTTTTATACAGGGTGTTCGATAATTCATGTACATATGCTACTTCCAAGAACTTTAGAGTTGGTTTCGGTTTCCCCGTGTTTGCTGCATTTAATTGGCTCTATTTTTTTTTAAACCTTGCGTACTGAAGTTTTGCATGATTTTTCGTTCCCTTAACAATGCTGAGAAATAAATATATGCTTGGTGAAAATACCTAAGATCAACCGTTTTCCCGATGTCGGCAGCCTAAAACTGCTTTTTTGTCCTCAATTGGACACTTAGACTTAAAACTGCGATTATTTTCATAAATTTTCATCATGGCAAGCATTGTACTTTCAAGCGCGCGTTGATTTTGTACAATTATTCAGTTATTGGATGTTCGCTTACGGTCGGTGAAGGTAATTGCATTAGAAAAAGCAAACGCCGTTATTCAATTAAATGAATTACTAACTCGCGCAAATCAGAGCGAAAAACGATTTTTACGGCCATCAATTTAGTTAAAAAAACACGCTCTAGCACTTAGCTGCTCTTCCGCTCCTCATCCATCTTTCTACTGAAAATATCCTTATTCATTTGCGCGTTTATATGAGATTTTGCTGTTTTTTGTATTTTGTTCTGCATGAAACATACTGCAATTTATTTTATTTTTTTAAATGTATTTGTCACCTTGGAAAGAACAATTGACCCCATGTTAAAGTCACATTGCGTGCGATGTTCAGGAATTACGGTATCCGGTGGAAGACTTACAAAAGTTATCATTAGAAGCGCTCAAATATCACCGATTTGCAGAGGTTGCAGATGAAATTTCAGTTATAATGCATTCGCGCTTGCACGTTTTTGTGTCACCATTTATTCAGTATTTTTAGTATCATTATTATTAAATTAAAACTTATGGTAAGTTGCTTTGTATATTTTTAGCATAGCTTATTTCACGAGGATTTAATTGGAGAAAAAGTTATAAAAATAATTGTTCCAGTAAGAAGTTCTTCAACAATCAATAATTAAAACAGAAAGACGTTTTACCGAACGTCTGCGGACAAACTTAATTAGACTTTTTTAGACGGTAAGCGGCAGTGTTAAGTGGGAGTTTGATTTTTGTAAATAAAATCAACCGGTTATGAGATTTGACTGAAATTATCAACGTTTAAACCGGATTGTCTCCTCAATGAACTCTCAAAGTTTCACATTTTGCGCTTTGCTATTTTGGGAGTTATGATTTTTTAGATAAAGAGCAGAGTTGGCTGGCATTGATTTTAAGTCAAAGAGTTTTTGAGGAAAAATTGTAGCGGAGTTTGGGATTTCGCATAAAATCAACGGTCTGCGGGATTTGATCGAAAAGTTGAACATTTATAAAATATTATCTTGTCAGTAAACTCCTACAATTTCAGTTGTATCTCTTTGTACCTTTGGGAGTTATGAAATTTTAGACGGAGCGTGGCGTAGTTGAGTGGCTCATAGCTTCTTATCGCAGTTTCAATTTTTTTTTATGAAATTAAACAACTTTTGTTGGAAATTTCTTACATCGATAAAAAATTGTCTTTCTCAATAAACTCCCAAGATTTAAAGTCTTGAGGTTTGCTGTTTTGGGAGTTATGCATTTTCAGACGGAGAGCAGCGGAAGAGTTGAGTGGAACATTACTTTTAACATAGTTGGAATTTTTTATAAAATCAACCAGTAACGGGATTTGATTGAAATTGTTTACGTGTATTAACAAATATATTGTCAATCAGCTCCCAAAAGTTCAAGTGTAGAGCGGCTCTATCTTGGGGGTTATACGTTTTTACACGGAGAGCGGCAAATAAAAAATTATCGCAGATTTTGGAATTTTGCATAAAATTAACAGCCTACGGGAATTAATCGAAATTCTCTAAACTTATAAAACATTATCTTGTCAGCAAACTTCTATAATTTCAGTTGTATCTCTTTGTATCTTTGGGAGTTATGAAATTTTAAACGGAGCGGGCGTAGTTGAGTGGCTCATAGCTTCTTATCGCAGTTTCGATTTTTTTAATGAAATCAACCAACTTCGGGATTCGATTGGAATTTTTTACGTCGATAAAAAATTGCCTTCTCAATGAACTCCCAAGATTTTAAGTCTTCAGTTTCACTATTTTGGGAGTTGAGCATTTCTAGACGGAGAGCAGCGGAGGTGAGTGGATCATTGCTTGTTATCGTAGTTTTAAATATAAAATTAAAAAAAAAACTGTCTCGTTTCGTGGTCTTGTTCCAATTATTGATGTCTGCCACATCCGGTCTGCTGTAAATATTTACTCTTGTTTAATTTAGTCCAAATAATCAGAAGTAAAAAGCGAGGGTTTAATTTTATATTTCTCTTGTTATACAAGCAGATTGCCTCTGTGTATATTTATCTAAAAAAAACCATTTTTTTCTTAGAAAATCAAAAGATACACACCAAGTGTAAGTTTAATATTGTTAACAATAGTTTATTTTGACTTAATGGTGAATGCGCCACCATAAAAATAATCAATCGAATTTTTGGACAGAAAACCCAGACGTTTTTTCGTAAATTGCTTGCTTTTGTCGCATTTGGTTATGGAGTGGTGACGTAATTTTTTTTTATCAAAAACGAGGCAAAACACTGAAAAAAAGCGATAAGAGACAATTGTACTATTTTTAGTAAGTTGGGAATGTATAAAGTACGCTCTTGAGAGTAATTGGGCTTCAAAATGAATTGCTGATTTTTTCCTAACTGTCCATCCTTTGCATCGGAAAAAAAGGAAAAACAACTGCCATTTGCTGGCATCATCTTCGAAATTTCTTCACTTACAATAAAAAACACCCTGAGTTGTCCACCTAATTTCAAGCTACTGTGTTCCAACAATTCTTTCAACCATTTTTTTTTAAATTGCAAAAACAAGTGATTTGTTGCACATTTTTTAGATTAAAATATTATAAAAAAATTTATTGTAATATTAAATACACTTTCACCGTTATTAAATCTGATTGGGTTGGCAAAGCAGACAAAATCTATTTTACGGTGGCCATTTGAAATGCGGTTGCGTAAATGTTACTCATACGAAGCAGTAATTGGGTTTAGTAAAAGTTGAACATTTTTTCAATGCTGCCAAAACTTACAATTTAAGCGTGTTGCTTCAATTGAAATACTTTAGGCGCATTTTTATCCCAATAGTTAGTTAATTGCTACTTAACGCGCGCGATATTTGCTGGTGTTTATCAGCGGTGAGTTATCAAGAATATTGAAAATTGAGACAAACAGCAAAATATCAAGAGCAATTGAGTGTATGTTTCTAAATTAATCATTTTAAATTGTTCTATATTATTAGATTTCAAGCATTGAGCCACTTGAAGACGTCAAGTGTTTGCCAATATACCTATTCAAAATCCTGGCTAATTTGGTTTATTTTTGTCAGAAAAACATTATACTAATCACCTACTCAAAAGAACTCAAATTATTCACATTGAAACATTGGCGGAAAAATTAATCAAATCTCGACTACTGCATACGTTTTTCCGTTATTAATACCATTAATATTCAATGAAATAGTTTCGCGATACACGATCCTACATTATTCCGATACGCTTTTATGGGCAATAACATTATTATACCATTCTTTCATTGATGGTAGTACTGTTTATTCGCCGTTGCTACACTTTCCCGATTAATTATAAACATTTTATTTTAAAACGTGTTAGTTACATTATACAAAACTCCAGTTATATTAAGGTCGAGATCAGTATTACGTTTGCTTGATAAGAAGCGAGTGTTGAACGGTTTCTGAATATGACAATGGAAACTATGTCATGATGATGATAGTGCAAAGTGTATATTCAAGTAGTGTTTAGTGATATTAGATATAATTGTCGGTTTATTTTATGGTCGATTTTTTCTGATAATTTTTTGCTCAGTGCTTGGAAAAGCACACTGGGTCTTAGAAGTTGCAAAGACATTGGGAAGGTATTTTATATAAAATTAGAATAGTCAACGGTTGAGAAATTTCTATTTTCAAAGATTGGAGTTTTGGGTTTGCGATCGCTGAAATTTGAATCTGAACTGGAAACCCACTCAAATTTGTCCGAATTTTGGAAGTAGATAAATTCTGATTTATCCCCATTTGTTTTTTGTTCGTCAATGTTTTGGTAAGTTTTAAACACTTCAGATGTATTTTCTACAGGGCGGCAAATAAAAAATGCAAAAGTTCGGCCTGCTCTTAGTTGGGCAAAAAAGGTTTTTTTGGATCTCAACACCAAAGTTTAAATATGAGCCAAACAGCTCGAAACGGGTTTTCCGTTTTTCGGCCAGCTCATTTGTTTCCGGGATGGTCGCAAAAATCAATTTTTTGCTCTTGCATCGAGAACTTTTCTGATCGTGGTCCGATTTTCACGATCACGTTGAAGCTCTATGGACAATTTAAGACAAAAATTTTATAGCATAAAAATTCCCCAAATCAGAATTGCCCCCGAAATCTGTGATTCTGGAAGATTTGAAGAAGTGACCAGGTATATTGAATTGTTTTCTGTCGACTGTGAAGTTTTAGCTTCAATATGTGCCTTATTTTAGATAATTAATTGCTCAGAAAGTTGATTTTTTTTAAGATCACTATAAATAAACAAGATGAGCGAAAAATGCTAAAACCTTTTTCGAAATGCGAGATTTATCTTAACTTCTGTGGTGTTGAAAAAAAACTGTTTTTTGTCTAACTGAGAGCATGTGGAACTTTCACCAATTCACCAAATCATTCAGAAATTTAATTTGAAACTATTTTTTTTTGCAAAAACACGCACTAACCGAAAACAAATTGCACTAAATAACGCTTCAAACTAAAATCGCTAGCAGCAAACAGAATTGATCCAGTTCCGAAGTTGGTCTAAATTTGTTGAGTAGTTCATTAATTTTTCTGTAACTGTTCTTTTGGTTTGTTTCAAATTGCTATTATCCTGCTATTTTTTTCAATTTCAACTAACTGAGACTGAAAAAAGAAAAGAAAAACGATGAGCGCTCAAAATTTCACAATTTTGAATCTATAAACACACGAAACCAGTAAAAATAGTCACATATGATACATCAGTTCCTTAATCATCAAATCAATTTTTCAAGAGTTTTTCAAGAAATTTTCTTAGTGGACGATTCTACCTAAAACATCCTTGTTTGTTCTTCGCAGTTCTCTTATATGCTGCTCTCCAAATGAAATACACTGTATATTAAATTGCATTAGCTGGTAACTAAGTCCAAGGGCACACGTAATATGATAACCATTTTTTCGTTATTATTGTAAATATTGGCGATGCTGGCGACGTTATTATATTTAATGAGGCTGAAGTATTGTTTAAAGCGGTTTCAAGGGGAGCGTAATTTAAACAAACACCTTACGTACTGTAGTTTAGGCTTAGGCAATATTATTGCCCAAAGTGGAAATATCGAAATCATATTTGAAGAAGCTTGAAAGCATGATCACATTATTCGATTGTGTTCGTTTGGTTGGCGTTTTATTGGTGATCGACAGCCTAAAAACAGCGTGTTTCAGTGAAGGAAGAAATTAATTGAAACAGGTACCCCAAATTGTTACTTACAACGGGTAAGGGCCAGTTTCAAACACTATTTGCTCTAACACAAGCAATTTTATTTTCGCAAACGACAGAAAAATAATAAACCGACTGTAAGAAAAATCTTTGTTTTTTAATTAACTCGCGCATTATTTTGCGACTTGTTTAGAAAACGCTGCCTTTAACAAAAAAGAAATTGAAACTTGAATGTTTCCCTGCTAAAATTTACAGCCAACGATTAATATTATTCAAATATAAACAAATAAAGCGAGGAAATATAAACATACACCAAACGGTGTTTTATTTAGTTTGTATTATTGCTAAAAACCTTGTGTTTATGTGAGTAACAGGCTGTTTTTAACAATATGAAAAAATCACTTTCTCTCTTTACAACAATAACATTTGCATTAGCTATGTGTTAATGGGTTGTTTAAATAATGAAAATTATTAGCAAGATTTAATGGCAACATGAAACGTTTATCAGAGGCCCTGCGAACACGAACGGCAAGTTAATGAACGCATTTGGTTTATCGCGATTGTGTAAATGCAAAATAATTGTCATATTATTTGCCAACCGCAGCTTTTTATATTTAGAGATTACTTGTGAACGTTTCGTACGCCCTCATTCCCTTATTGGCTTAACGACAATACAATAAAAACATATATTTTTTGGATACCGAAGGCTGGTTGTAAGAGGCAATAAAGAATTTCACTTAAACATTCAAGAAACACCTTTTTAGTCAACGGCGTTTTAAAATTTTTCCACTGTCTCGCAAAGTGATGACGTTGTCCTAATTTGCATCCATTTTGAAAAGGTTCGTCCCAAATGCAAGCAAAACGTCGCGTCGAGAATTTCAAAAAGATTTTGGGAAAGTTGAGAGATATTTGCTGGATAAATGTTTGAGTTGGATCCATTTGTTTTGTTCTTGGAAGAAACTTAATATGAATATCTAGGCAAAGCTTATTTGGAATGTTTTCTGATAAACTCCTCCGTTGATCAATTGAATAGAAAAGGTGCTACACAAAAATCAGCTTTGCTATCTTTATTGAAAATACGTTTTTAACCATTTGGTGTGTTCATTGAAAAAACATCTGCTTTTAAATAAAATAAATATGTATCGGTAAAAAACAGTAAACCTCTAATAGATAGATGGTGGCGAATATTCTCGTATTACACATACATATAGCGAATGGAATACACAAATAAAAACGTCGTTGACTTGTACTTTGTTGCATTTCGAAACGATTAGCGCATTTTATGTGGTTGTTGGCTGTTCATTGGGCTCCGATTTTCATAAGTGCTGCCTCGAATGCAAAAAAATGCTGCCAGTAGTAAGTAGGAATATTTCGTTAAAGGTAGTGCTTAAAAAGTTTGGGTCAATGCGTGGATGTACTACTTATTGGTAATGATTTATACTGTTCACATTTAGGAGGGATTTTTATACATACAAAAGGGTTGTGAAATAATGAAATAAAATTGTGGAAACCAGGAAAAACAGCAGTTTATGATTTTTGAAGAGTTTTGTAATTTTGAGTTTTCTTCAATTTATTCAATTAATTTGGTTCAAAAAGTGAGTAGCGGATAGCAGACTTTATGGAAAATTATTCCTCAAGTTACAAACATTGCAAATGTCGGAACGATTTCTTGTTTCGGTTCACTTTTTTCAATTTTTTTGGAGGTCTATTTTAAATAATTCTACTCAAATTGCACATTTTTTCTTCAGGGTGGTATCAAACACATTGCGTAAAGGATACTTTTGTAGCTTATTTCATTCTTCAATGTTTACTTTCCTTACAAATTTTGTATTTTTTTAAATACATATTTACATAAATACATATTTAAAAAAATTGTTTGAAATTTATTTCAATTTATAATCAATTTTGTTTAGAAGCTTTGTGTTGTGGATTTTTCGCATATGCGATCGTTAGAGGCCAAAAAAATTATCTCACTTTTTTCTAGCTTTTTTTGCGAGCAACCATTTAATTAAAAGTTTAGGGTTTTGAGCTCAAGTCGCTTGACTACTACAGAAAATACTGCAGAAACTACTTGTTTTCCCGTTACCGATACACGATAGGAAAAACCACACAAAATCAAACATTTTCGAAATTAATGGGAAAACGGATTTTTAAAGAGCTATAGAGAAAATAGCGAATAACCAATTAAAAACCTTCCCTTACAGATTTTTTTCCATCAGATTCCCAGTGTTGTAAAACCTGCACTGTCGACTGTGGGAAATATCTGAAAAACTGCAAGAGTTATAAAAAAACTGAAGAGTTCAAATTTCAACACCCATGAAAATGCCAATAAGAACGCGATGAAAATTTAATGGAGAATTGTAAAAACCTTTGAAAAATATGATCAGTACGAAATCCTCCTAGCTAATTATCGCGGATTTCAGTAAATGGCCTTAATGTTTTCGTTGTGCAAATTTCATTATTTTTAAACACTTTCATAAATTACATGCTAAGGTTTATTCGATTGACAGACGTTTAGTTTTTGTTACTTTTAATCGTATTCTGTAATTAAGTTTAATATTGAAATATTTTTGTAATAAAGGTCCAGTTTATTTTTTTGCAATTGTGGACTTAATCATCTTTCAAAGGCAAATTGTCTTGCGGGTTTCATTTCTCCATACTAGTTGAAGAATATTTATTATTTCCAAGAGAAGTTTTTCCTTAACAACTACGTGAACTTGAAAATTCTATGTTTTAATACCGGGTGTCCCGTAGACTTTCCAGTCCACGGGACACCCTGCATGTTTGTTTATAATATTATTATTATTAAATCAGATTTTTTCAGACATTGCAACCAATAAAAATCATATAAATTGAGAATTTACGAACCATATTTGCTTGGGCTTATCGATATTAACAATAGGTATTTCCTTCAAACAAAATGTTCGGATTTACTAATAATGATAAGAAGTTAAATATTGATTCAAAGATAAGGAATAGATCACGAACCTCTTATTTCTAAAGTATTGATTGTTTTCACCTGAAACAACGGGCAATACTTAGTAGCACTGCGTCGCGTTGTGTAAGTTTAGGAGTTTTGCTGGTGAAAAAGGTGCAGTTTTCATTGCCAGCAAAAAAAGAAACAATTTCTATATGTGACGTGGTTTTTCAAGCTGGTGCACATGGTAATATTGAGATAATATTCAATTATGCTAAATGACCGTTTAATTCCAATGCTTTCAACTTGTATTTTAGATTTGCGTCAAAACATGCATACACATTAACCGACTCCAGTTTAAATATTAATTTTTCTATAGGCTTAAGTGCAAATCTGCATTCTACATTTTCTTGCCTCCTACATTTTCCTCATCTTATCTCGATCAAATTTCATTAAGCTCGAGGAATTTAAAAAAATTACTCGTAATGCAAACACACACCAAGACTCGAGATTTACCCCAATATCCGAAATCGTTTCTATTAACAGATCGAAAAATAACAGATAAGGACATATCAAGCGGCTATTAACCCAATAGCAAAGATAGATTAAGTACATACTTTCCGCGTAAAGGATGCGCGGCAAATAGTTGGAATATATTTTAAACGATTCGTACCTGAAATGTACTCAGCTTATCTGTTATCCACATCATAAAAACCCAAATTCTTAATAGCGTCAGTGCGGGCTTATACAGTCATGCATAAATTAGCAAAACTGTGATATGCGGTATTCGGGATGTATAAAAGTAATGTTATTTTATTATTATTATTATTTGTTCATAAATTGCTCTGTTTCGTTTTCAGAAAATGTAACTATGGTGGCAGCTATTTTCCAGCGGAACAAACTCTTCCTTGTACTGGTAGTGTTTCTTTTCCTAATAACATTTTTCATTTTAACCGAACCAAACCCCCCACAAGACGAATCCGTGGAACTGATTTCTCTGGGCATTGAAAACTCGAAAATCCAACAATGGTGGATGAGGAGAAACGCTTCGGTAAGTTTTCCGAAAAAAGTCCAGGAATTGCGGAAATCTATCGGCATTTTCTATTGAAGAAGAATCTCTCAAAGCTCGGTGAGATTCTGTTCTTGGAAGCTGCCGAACCTGCGGTCAAAGACAGTAATAAACGGTATCAAATTTTGGTATGGAAATATGGACCCACAATCGAAAATCGACATCTAAAGCAGTTTTCTGGACAAAGGTTGGTGTGTGCGGTTTATTTATTACTCCAAATGGATTACTATTTATGAAAATGTTATCGCTCTTGTCTTCTTTGTTTATTGTGGT